AAAGTTATTTTTTTTCAATTGTCTCCTTTACTTTAAATAATTTATTCCTATAATTTCATTTTCTAAATTCATAACTTATATACATTTTTATCTCTACTCGATGTGAGATTTGTAAGATGAGAGTTGTCTTTTATTTATATATTTTTTAATTGTCTTGTATTTTAAGAGATGTGAGATTTATAAGGTGAAAGTTACTATCTAATTGTTTTATAGCACTATTGAACTTGTAACAATGAGTGATTTGATACAATTTAGAATAATGAATTAGGAGTCAATCCTATAAAATGAACTTGTAAGGTGATAGTTATTACTCACTTATATACTATTTAATTATCTTATCTCTAATCGATGTGGGACTTAAGTTTTTTTTAATAAATAATTGTCGCTAATAGTAAACTTTAGTGTAATATAAATATATTTTTAGTAGCTATTATATATTAGCCATTAATATTTTTACATATGGCGGCAATTAAATTATTTCCATTAAATAATTGTCACTAATAACAAATTTTGTTGTAGTGATATTAGCAACTCACAAGAAAAAGTTACTTATGTATGCATTTTTTTTTTTAATTTTAAGAAACCTATAATCATATGTTGGAGTAACCTAGGTCCTGTCAGATGACAAAAATACATTAAAATTCAAAGGATTTTATTAAGAAAGTTATATGAAAAAACACAAAAATAAAATGGTTTTTGAAAACCAATTTCTAAGCTCAAGAATTGATTACATGTACGAAAGGTGTTAAAATCCTATAATGTTCGTCATACAATTACTTTTAATTAATTAAACAAGTGTTATTTGTAATTTATAAATTATTTATCTCATCCAATATTTAATAAAAACTAATTATGACAAATATTTATTTTGTTTATGTATGTTTGTTTATTTTCAAAATTTAAATTTTATAAAGATTATTATGAAAAAATAGAAGGTTGATATTATTTATCTTTTTATATAAGAGTGAGTGATCTCTTACATATCTTCAAGTGCAATAAAGAATTAGAATTAGATAATTATTTTTGTAGAAAATATTTGTTTGTTGATATTTTTTTATTAAATGTTTGCTAGATTTTAAAATTTTTGAACTGTGATAACTCATATATTCTAAAATGTAAAATTAATAAAGGTATATACATTAACACTTGGAATAGTAAATTTTGACCTTACTCAATCCTACAAAAGAAATAAAAAAAAAAGATCACACAGATGTTCATTATCTATTTTGAAATGTATTATATATATATATATATATATATATATATATATATATCTTGAAAATCTCATCTTCAAGTTTTGTGGGTAAAACTTGAAAACCCCTTCCTCACAAGTTTTATGGGTGAAACTTGAAATCCTCTCTCTCACAAGTTTTTTGGCAAAACTTGAAAACCCATTCCTCACAAGTTTTATGGGTGAAACTTGTAAACCTCTCTCTTACAAGTTTTCTAGCAAAACTTGAAAACCCTCATTCACAAGTTTTTTGATGAAACTTGAAAATCCTCCTTCATATGACCTCTTCTCTCATTTAAGGCGGTAATCCCTCTTCAGGTTAGGTGATTCTTCTTATATTAAGAATCTCTATTTATTGACTTTACATCATAATTTAAAAAAAAGAAACAAATATCTAAAACAAATACAATATATTTTAATTCTAAATAATATCATAAAAGAATCAATATATTTTAAAATCTAAATAATATTTTAGAGATTTAAATTTAAAAATTTGAATTGTTTTCAACATTCACACATCTAATTTTTACTTTCCACCATCTTATTATTTTTACTCTTTTTAATTTTTAATTTTATTTATTTTTACTTTTAATATAGATTAATCGAAATTATGATGAAAACGCTTTTACGAAGTATATAAATTAACTATTAATAAAGATTAATGTCTGATGGTTTCTGCACAAAAATACTATAAGCATCCATTTGAACCACCTTTTATTGTACGTGAAAGATTTGTTATTATGTTTGGTTTTATGCCCAAGTTATATCCATTTGACTTAGATATATCTATACTTATTTCAGTCCATAAACTAAGATATTATTTCATTCTCTTTCCTGAAACATGTTCTGTGGAATGATACAGCAAAATATTTTATCTATCTTCACTCTTCATTACCTCAATCATTCACAATATGCGTTATACAATTTATGATTTATAAGCAAACTTTTTCATTAGTTGACCAATAATTTCGAACGACCAATTAACGGTCGGCACCAAAATATTCTAATGATTCGGAATCATCCATTTTTCTCCCTCCTAGTTTGGGAGGCTTTTATTTTTCTTGAAGAATCATAATTATCTGAAATGACTATGAAGCTAGAAAAGTTGAAGAGTTTTCTATCAAGAAGTTAACACCTTGGTTGCCACATTTTTAACACACAGTGCTTTTGTCTGACATATTCCTAAACTTGCAAAACAAGTAAGGAATAACGAAATTGTTGACAAACTCACCCGATCAGTTTTCCACCAATTTTGAAACTTGTCTTAATGGGTGTGTGTTTCATTTAATCGAAGATAAGGCTACCCAAATATAGGCATTAATTTAAAATATAAAGTAAATCTTGTTTCCATGCAAAATGTGTTTATTGTATGGTAACATTTAATTGGCTATTGAATTGTGTAACTCTTTCTACTGGAGTTTGGATTCAGATGCTTCCAACGAATCATATGGGTTGTATGCAAATGACTAGACCTAGCTCCTTTCACTTCCTTGATTCGATTTCTATTATAAAGCATCAAATTAATTGGCACTGCACCAGTTGGATTACAAGTAGATACGATTTTTCTGTTGCCTTTTGCAATTCGATAACATAAAGTTGTATGGCTGGAAAGTTTGGGAATACAATACAAAGTCACACTCTAAATGGATCACAAAACATTTTTCTCCATAGCTTCAGGCAGAGAATATTCATCACCAGCAATATTGTGGAAAAATTGGTAAAGCTTCATTAAATCGAATTTCTGTTCATTTTTTAAAAAGTGACCACTTCTTTTTATTTTCTTCTTCCTTATCTGTTTGCGTTCATACTACCATATTTATATACAATTGTGAATGAAAGTTTAATATTAAATAAACATAAATACCTTGAGCAATATTAATATGAATTACAAGATCCAATAAATTTGATATCTTAAAATATAGTATGAAGTTCACCTCGGTGTTTAAATCCTTCCATAGTCCTACTGTGAATTGTAATTTAAAATCATTTACAGTTCTGACCTTTCCATTAAACCTTTCCTTTTCAGTTAGTATTGTGTGTGTCGTACATCCATGCATGTTTTAATTAAAGTGTTCCTCTATTAAAATCCTCATGTTGAGACATTTTTTTTACAATAATAAAGAAATAGAGTGAGAGAATCCTTATTTGTATACTTGCTGGTTTCAAACTCATATCTTCCTCCTGAATACTTCTAGACTTCTAGTTTATCTTAAGAGTATACACACATTATTTAATTGTCAATCTAAAGTATTCTCTCACTTTTAGCAAATTTAAAACCACAGAATTTTAATAATAAATTCACTTCAAACCTCTCAAAAATCACAATGAAGAGTATCTATGACAAATTAATAAACCCTTTGAGGTATCAATAATTGAAAGCTAAAAAATCTCTTAAACAGGAAATTAATTACAACGGTTGGGGATAAAAGATAAAAACTTTAAAACTTTTTAACAAACTCAAAACGAACTTGACTCAATCATGTTTGTAATTCTTTCCAAATTCATCCATTCAGTAGCGTTATTTGGTATGAAAATATTTAGAGAAAAATGCTCGAAGTAAGATATTTTACTAACTAAATTCTTATTGACCATATATATATATATATATATATATATATATATATGCATGGAGGGAGAAAGTAGAATGTTTTTACTAAATTCTTGATCCATCATTTCATGCAATGTTTGTAAAGAATCTCTTTGTATGATTTATCTTTCTTCCTTCATCGTATTCCTGGACGGTGTCTAACAATTAGCACATTGTTATCCCCAGCCACCACAGCAATATTCCTTTCTCTCTTTCTTTTTGCAAAAGAATTAATTCCAGTTCTACATAATTTTTTCAAACATTGAAGCCCCTCCTCTATTTTGAAGACATTGAATATCATTGGAATTTAACTCTCCATAGTCTCTTAACGAATTTCAATTTGAAACAGCGCAGAAAATTAAAAAAGCCTGCATAAATTGATTATGGATAGTTATTTTAAAAGATAGATAATTTTGTATTGAATATTAATATTTGCAAGATAAAAACTATGACATGTTAGAACTGCATATAGCTAAATTTTACGACAATTATACAAAATTTTGGTTAAACGTAATTTAGGAGAAACTCACCAATTTTCTTCAAGCATCAATTAATTAATCTAATCCCCCTACATGTCCCTTAAACAAAGTGCCCTTAAGCATCAACTAATTAATCTAATCCCCACACACGTTCAACTTAAGTAGTCCATATATATATATTGATATGAGAAGTGATAGAAAGCAATTAAACTAAGGGTAGAATTCAATATATATTGTCATATCATCTAATGCTAGGTGGATGATTAATTGGTATGCACTATATTCATAGGTCGAGTGAGTATCAAGTATAGCGGGCAATTCATATGCTCTAAAAATTTCCAAGCATGGCCAATGGCTTCTGCTATATTACAAATTAAACTTATATGCTATGCTAGGTCATGAGAACCATGTAAACCAATATCTCACATCATTCATATATCTTCTGCTATCAACAAGAAACGATCCATGCTCTAGTTATTTCCCTCCCAGAGGAAGCACACATCATCATTGAATAGCTGAAGCCCATCTTTGCATGTAGCTTATAGGGAAGATGATGAGAAAAGCCATCATTCAAAAAGCTAAACGGTACTACTCAAGTAATAATGTTTGCAACTTTTACCATACCTCATGCATTGTGTCAAGTCATGGGGCAATCATAACACTCTCTCATACAAAGTTTTCATCTTTCTTTCTTAAATTTCCCTCATCATATAGATAGAGTTCCTTGCTCCATTGCTTGTTAACCTACGTTCTTGACTTTCTCTTTCTCACATAAAGTCTCTCTGCCATTAGTATCTGAGTTGGAAAAGGTGCAACTAGCTAAAAGATTTCACCGCAAGCAAGTAATTGAACAAATTAAGAAAAAACACCCCCAAGAGGCCCATAGAGGTTTTCATTTTCCATCATGTGTTCAGTTAGCTAGAGAACCAACCAACCATACATATACCATACCAACATATATAATATAATTAATATACAAGCAAATAATTAAAATAATTAATATCATCATAAGTTGAATCATTAATTAAATAATGAACTAATTGATCCAAAATATGATTACATCTTGATGATCATCACCTACGCATGATCTTCATTACCCTCATTCCTCATCTGCGTTGGCACAATAATGTCCTGAAGAAGCCCATCATCCCTCACAAAAGCATGAGGATTCACCACCCTAGATGGTACAAAACCTGGATGAATCTCTTGGTTCTGAAGGAAGGCACTCAACGACGACGTATTGCCATAGTTAATGCAAGAAGACGTGTTAATAACATCCAAAGGTGTCGTTGAGGTGGAGTTATATAACACAGCTGCTGCATGTGCTCGTTGCTCCAACTCCTGTTGGCGATGTAACTGTTGTTGTCGCAACGCATAGTTTGTCGAAGCCACACCAGTTGTGCCTCCCAACCCACTTACTTCATGCACGAACCCGAGTCCCACTCGTGACGCCGCGGGGCTGGGGTGCGTGTGTGTGCCCTCATACGTTGTCATCACTACTGAAGGATCCTCTGAGGAACGCTCCACGCGCTTCTTCACACCACAATTCGCAGTAGTGCACCGATAGTAGCTCCTGTTTTGCATACACACCAAGAAATATTATGTTTTAGTTATAAGAGTGCCGATCCACAAATACAACAAACATTCCGATCAAAATTTTAAAAAGTTTTTGGGACCTTATAAAATAAAAAGTATTTTTTTTTATAAAAAAAATCTAAACTTATATCGATAACTACGAGAAATGAAATGTACACATAATATTGATTAATAATTATTCATACCTGGGATGTGGGCTGTTTTTCACGGCTTTCTGACCGTACTTGCGCCACCGATAACCATCGTCAAGGTGATCCACTTCACTCTTTGTCATGAAAGCAACTCTTGGCTCTCTCTGCTTCTTTTGGTTCTTCTTCTTTGGCTTGAGCCTAAGCATGAAATTTTAGCAAAATAAACAAATAATAATTAACATGTTTTTGTTGTTTGTTGGGTTTGTAGAATAAAAACAAATAAAAGAAATCAAAAGTAAGAGAAGATGAAATCGGTGAGAAAAGACAGTATAGCAAAAATAGACGACGACAGAAACCCATCTTAAATTCAATGAACATATAATCTCCATCCATTGTCAAAACTCACTGTTTCTTAGTCTTGTCTTGATCTTTGTCTTCTTCTCCTTTGCCTGCCTCCATGGTTTCTTCTTCTGCTTCATTTTCATTTTCCGTTGCTTTGTTGACGGCGGCGGCGGCGGCGGTGGCGGAGGCTTCATTCGAGGAGGAGGAAACCGACGAGGAGTTGGGCGACGGCGGAGTGTTGAGGACCTCGGAGCCTCCGGGCGGCGAGGGAAGCGCGTGGGTGGTTTGGGGTGGCGGTGGTGCTGACGTGGCGGCGATGCTTTGAGGCCAATCAAATAAAGAAGAAGAATAATCAGGAAGAGCGAGCATGTCCATGAAGCCAGCAACGTTGGAAGGTTTTGGATCGTCGCATGAAGATAGTGGCATGGTGTCAAAGATGGTGGAGAAAGCGAAGTTCATGCCCATGCTCATGCTCATGCTGGTGCTCGTGCTCGTGTTCATGTTCGTGCAGACAGCGCTTACGTTTGAAGGATAAAATCCAGCGAGTAGCACTTGAGGGAGAGAAAGCTAATAGAAAGAGTTACTTTAGTTTCAAACTACTAAAAGGGAACCAAAAATTAAATAAAAAAAAAAAAAAAAAAAAAAAAAAGTTTTTCAGAAAAACAAATTAAAAACAATTAACGCGTACAACGTTGTGTGCTGCGCCTTGTTACCACTTACCACTTACCACTTACCACCGTCGTCGTCTGTTAGAAGCTTCGGCACGTGCCTTCCATGCCTCACACTTTCTCCCAGTCAAGTCCTCACGTCATTTCCACGTCACCCATTCCTCATTAAAATTTTTAACCAGAGATCACTCAATCTTAAAACCATCCCCACCTGCATTTATGCCACTTTTTTTTTTTTTTTTTTTTTAATTTCACTAAAATTCAATGAATTGGTGTTTCATTATTCTTATTTTTTATTCTATTGTACCCTAAATACAGAATTTGATGGACTGAATAGATAAGTTGAAACACACTTCATTTGACGAGTTTCGTATAAGTTTCATTTCATATTAAAAATATTATAGTATAAATGATACTATTATTTTACTTTCCCTCCTATTTTTGAGATTTTTTTTTACATTACAAAACGGGGCAAGAGCCCAGACGATGGATTGCTGAGACTTGAGAGAGTCATAAATGCTCTTCAAAAATTTATTGGGCCTTTAAGTTAGGTGGATTATTATTTTTTATTTAATTTTATTTTCATATTCTAATTGAAAATAAAACCATACATATTGTAGTGATTTCTTTCTGCATGCACCCAACAGAATTATTTCTATCATACAAAAATTTCAATCACTTTTAAGTAACAACACTAGTTTTCAATTAAATTGACCGCAATTTCGGTGCTCTAAGTTTTCACAGACACGTAATTTACTACATTTTTGAAATATGTTTTTTCACTATTCTAGCAGAAAATATTGAAAAGTCATGAATGTGCACTGTTTGACAAAGCTCTAACAAAAATTCATAGTATTTTAACTGTTAATTTTTGTAAATAAGATAAAGTAATTTAAAGGCATAAAAACTAAATAAAAGATTTTTGTTAAATAAATATATTTTGTGAGCAGGGAACGTCACCTCACGATGAAGGTTGTGGAGCCCAATAGCCAGAGAGAGGCCCACAAGCGGTGGAGTACACGTGGCGGCATCAGATTGTGTGTCGCTCCTAGGTGATCGTACGGCTGGCGTTCACTGAAACAGGAATTGAAAGCAAATGCACTTTACGCGGTTTTGGTATATTCCATGATTGCTTCAAACACACTCTTCCGAAGCCATATGCTACGATAAGTGATAACCAACCGTTGCTTGCTAAGCTTACATGTTCTTTTGCATTACAATACAATCCTCTTCTGTTCCTTTTTAACCTTACCTCTTTGTATTTTTCTTCTTTTGCTTCAACTTTCCTCTCTTTTTCTGCTAATTCTACATTTTATCAATAAACTAACTTTTTTTGGATGTCTAAACTAGCCATCACTTTTTTAATCATGCCCATGATTCCTTTCTTTCTTTTAAATTTGTGAATGGCATGCATGCATGTCCACAAAAGTGTTTTTTTTTTTGTTGTTGTTGGGGATAATATAAGATAATTAGAAGGCTTGTATATATTTATATATCATCGAGACGTACATAGCTATGCTGTTGTTTAATTTCCGATTACTCCTAATTCTAAGCTTAAGGAAGATTCTTTTATCATCACCCAAAAATCTTAATTTATTTGTGATCACTATCACAGATATATACACAATTTTAAATAATAGTACAGCTCTATTTCATAATCATTCGCACATCACATTAGAACTATATATATAGTAAACCATATAAAATACGTTCATATCATCCTCCTAAAAAATATTAGCAACTTCCAATTTAAACTAACAAGACAAATGCTTATGAACTAACTGCACAATGCAATATTTGTCTTGCTGCCTCTTGTTTATCCAATGATAGTCTCGTTGCACTGTAACATATCGCGGCACTCAGCATAATATAGCATAAGTTGATGAGAGTTAGTTTAGATAATTTTAACAAATATTTATTAAAAAATTCAAGATATAGAATAATATTTTTTTTCTTATAAATTAACATTAATTTATATAGTTTATCTTTCTAAAATAATATCCTAAAAAATTGACATATAAAAATTAATTTTAATTAATACGAGAAGTTTCATTTTTTTTTTTTTGTATTATGGTTTTTCAGTTATATAAGTACTGACTGATTTTATTTATTTAGTTTTAAAATTTGCTGTGAGTTAATTTTATTTTTTTTTAATTTCGAAACATCCTGAAGTGGAAGGTGCGCTTAAGTCAATGTTTTTTCAAACAAAATATAATGTATATATAATGAGTAGTTCTTTCTTAGATAATGAATTGGTATGTTTATACTTTTTTTTTTCTTATAAAAATACATTTTTAAATAAAATATACTTTTTTTTTTTATTTCTAATATGGTTGTCTAAACTTCTTTTCTTAAAATAAATAGTTTTTTTTATACTTTTTTTAAGAAGTAAATCTTATATATTTTTATAGATTTTTTTTAAAAGCACTTATATAAAAAAATACTTCCTTTTAAGTGTAAACAAACGGACCCACTTGGATTATTTATAAATGTATAATTAATATTAAGATATATAACTTCCAAGTTTACACATTTTATAAATTCTTAAAAAATAAATTTGTACCCAATTCAACCTTATACGAAACTGATTTATAACATAATATAATTGTGTTTCACTTATATATTATATAATTTTTTTATCCATAATTGATATAAAATCTTTGACAAAAGTAAAATAATACCTCTTGTTAAGACAAAAGTTGAACATCAATCCTTGATACAGTAAAAAAAAAAAAACAAAATGCGTCAAACAATTCATACTGATGAAAAGAAGCTCGTTTCAAGTTATCGATTTCATTCCCAAAAATATAATGATGAGAATGACATTTTCAAGTATTTTAACAAAAATGTGTTTGGATAGGGATAAGAATGTTCTTATAAAAGTAGGTGTTAAAATGAATAAAGATAAAAGTTTTAATTTTCACATTATGAAAATCAACATATTCACCTTGAGAATAAAAACATGAGAATATGATAAAAAAATTCATTTTCAAAAACGTATTGTATTTTCTGAAATAAAATTTGTAACCGTGTAACAAAGATAAGAAAACACATTACCTTTTAAAATAAACGTACCAAATTTTTTTTTTATAGACATTAAAGAGGTGGGATGTATAGAGAAAATGAAAGTGAAAGACACATGTTAGAGTAGCACTGTTATATTTTTCTTACAAGTTTTACTAATAATTATTACAAAAAAAGCCTTATTTTTAATAAAAAATATTTAAAGTGCACAAGTGATGATATATTTATAGATTTAATTTAAACTAAGTTAATTAAATCAGCGATAAATGCAATCTAATTACATTGCGCATCTTTGAAGTTTACTCATCGTAAAGAAAATAAATTCAAATATTTAATGCCTTTATTAATAAGAAGTAATTAAAGTACACAGAAAGTATTCAATATAGTAAAAATCATTTACTATATTAAAAAAAATAAAGTTGAAAAATATTTATTATATTATAATACGAAAATAGTTTAATATTTATTCTTTGAAATACTATAAAAATTTAATAATGTATTAAATTCCTTATTTAATGTTTCAAGAGTTCTAAACTAAACGTTAATAAGAATGAGTTTTTATTTTACTAAGAAAAAATGTATTACTGTTCTCTCTGTCAATAATAAATGATTTTTTTTTACATCATATATAATAAATGATTATTAGTAATTCAAAGAATGAATGTAGTGGTTAGACACTATGTACTCATATATTGTGAAATAATCTATATGGTAGGAAATTCTATATTTGCTTCCTATCATATGTGAAAATTTTTCGAACCAATGACAATAATTATCATGGGGCAAGATTAGTTTCTAACACAGGAAGTTAGAAATACTCATATTAGAAAAAAAATGATTATTATTAGTAAGATATTGAAAAATCAGAAATTATTATAATTTTAACTAGCTGTGTTAACTAGTAATACATTTTTTAGCACACTTTTTAACATCCACACTAAATGAATAAAAGTTATTAAAAGCTTCAAAATAAAGATAAAAATGTATTGAACAAAAAATAAAACCTACAAAAATTATGGTTTTTATTAAATTTTAGCAAGCAACAAAAAAAATATTTAAAGTGATACTTTGAAGAAAAAAAAACGTGTTACATTTCTAATTAACAAATGAATAAAATTTAAATATAATTTTTTAGATATAGTTGATGTTATTTTCTAATTAAAATTGCAATTTTACCTTAGTATTATGCATTTATAATCATATTAAGGTAAAATATTAACTTTGTTTAGAAAATAATATCAATTATATTTAAGAAATTATATCTAAGTTATGTGTGTTTAGTTGAACAAATTAAGGGAAAACCTTAATCCTAACATTGGGATTTCCACTGCGAAAAATCCTATCGAACCAAAAGATCATGGTTACGGAGAAATACTAATAGAGAATAAAACAATGCGGATAACAAGAGAAAAATGAAAGAAAAAAAATATTAATATCTTTTTCGAAAAGAAAAGAAAATGGCTCATGGGTGAATAAATATCTAGTTGCAAAGATTAACCCATAGAAGAAAGGGGGAAAAGAAAAATTGAAGCCGGAAAATAAAAATACATATATAGTCTATCCATATATATTTTATTATAAAAAGTGAGAACCTAGAAATCGTCTCATACGAACACAAGGGTTGCAGTGAGGTTTCTGTATGGCAACCCTCCAAAGCACAAAAGAGTCCAAGAAAGGTTTTCACTTTTCATGATATGTTGATAATTAAGTTGGATGATTATTGATTATTAATTAAGCGAAATATGAGTATATGATGATGATGGATGATGGATGATGGGTATGATGAGCTAGCTAGAGACGATCTCCATTCCTCATGAGCGATATGGCATAATAATGTCCTGAAGAAGGCCACCATTGTCCCTCAAAAGAGCATGAGGAGGAGGATTGACCACTCTAGAGGGCACAAAAGCTTGGCGATTTTCTTGGTTGTTGAGGAAGCCAGTGATGGAGGAGATGTTCATGTTTCCAAAGTTAATGCAAGAAGAGGCGTTAACAACATTCAGAGGTGACGTCGAGGTGGAGTTATATAACGCAGCCGCTGCAAGTGCTTGTTGCTCCAACTCCTGTTGGCGTTGCGAATGTTGTTGTCGCAGTGCATAGTTTGCTGAAGCCACTCCGCTTGGGCCTCCAGACCCACTTGCTTTCTGCACCAACCCCACTTTTGGTGGTAACGGGACGGTGCTAGGGTGCGTGTGCGTGCCCTCGTAAGTTGTCATCACCACCGAAGGGTCCTCTGTCGAACGCTCCACACGCTTCTTCACGCCGCAGTTCGGAAAGGTGCAACGATAGTAGCTCCTGTTTTGCATCAATCCACAGACAGAATCAAAACCCTAAGATATATAATTATGAGAATTGAGAGATGAAATGTACATCAATTCCCAATAATATACCTGGGATGTGCACTGTTTTTCAAGTCTTTCTGACCGTACTTGCGCCACCTGTAGCCATCTTCAAGGTGATCCACTTCACTCCTTGTCATGAATGCGACTCTCGACTCTTTTTTCTTTTGGTTCCTCTTCTTTGGCTTCAGCCTAAGCATGGAATTGTATCAAAATAAAATATAATAAATAATAAATAATAAATAACTCTTTTATTTTTTTGTGTGTGTGTTGGGTTTGTATAATGAAAACAAATGAAAGAAATCAAAAGTACGAGAAGATGAAATCGGTGAGAAAATACAGTGGCAACAACAGATGAAGAAACCCATTTTAAATTTTTAAGTGCAATGAATATAATCTCCATCAATTGTCAAAACTCAAAACCTTGTCTTTTTGCAATTGTAACTGACTTTATCTTCGTTTTATTATTATTTGATACAAGCGCATTGAATAACATACATATAGAATTAATTCCTTTATTTTTCTTGGAAATTAACAAATTAAATTAAGATTAATAAAATTAATTTAAAATATTATTATTATTATTACTCACTGATTCTTAATCTTGTCTTGATCATTGTTTTCTCCTCCTTTGTCACTATTCATGGTCTCGTCTTTCGTTTCATTTTTGTTTTCTGTAGCTTTGTCGGTGACTTCATTCGGTGGTGACAAAATCGGCAAAGAGTTTGGTGACAGTGAAGTATTGACAACCTCAAAGCTATTGGGGGCATTAGGACTGGGCAGTGATTGAAGTGGTTGGGTAATTTCGGGTGGTGGTGGTGCTGATGTGGTGACAATGTTTTGGTGCCAAGTATAATCGGGGAGACTCAACATGTCCATGAAACCACCAAAGTCAGAAAATTCTGGATCGTCACACAAAGAGGGTGGCAGTGGTGACATCATGTCAAATATGCTTGAGAAAGCAGGGGAGAAAGGGAAGCTCATGTTTGAAATCTCATCAGAAAATGCCACAAAATTTTCTGTAGTAGACGATGGTTTCGAGTTTTCCTCTTTCTCTCCCTTCTCATCCATTGTTTTTTTATCAATTGCAGGTGCTATGTATCAACAAAAAGCTTTACTTATAGTTCACTCTTTCTCTAATTTTTCAAAACTAAAAAATTAACCCTATTAATTACTATTTACTTTTTAATGTTATTTTATTATTATATTATTATGAAGAGAGATAAAATATTTATTATTTTCATATCGCTTATAATCTCATTCAATTTATGTGTCGCACTTTAACCTCATCTTGATATTATCACTATAAGAAATGTTACATATAATAACATAAAAAGTGTTATTATTATAGATATAATATATGTAGGTATAAATCTATTTGATACGTGTCATTATATGTTATACCTATACTAATAATATGTCAATATATATTGTATTTATAATGTAGGTAGAAATAGTTTTTAGTAAAAAATATTGTGTCACTATAGGATGTGTATCACTACAAGATAATTTTTTTTGTAGAATACATTTAATTCAATCTTAAATTAATTAAAAAGGTATAATTATATGTCAAGTGAAAATTGATTGAAATCATGTATACTTAATATACATTATCTTCGACCCTAATTATAAGCAACATATAACAAATCATCAAGATTAAAAAAGTAATTAATATGGTTATTTTTAATTTATATCATAAATTCGAGTTTTAATCTAAATACACCATTGACTTTAAATGATCGTTATATTTAATGTTAGTTATAAGTAAATGAATAAGAAATAAATTTAACAATAAATGAAGAGTATACAAGAAATTTAATCCTATATAACCTTAAAACCTAATGGTTATTGCTTATAATAATTAAGACAAAAGAAAATTTCAATTAGTTACTTATATTTAGGATTAGAGGTAATAATTTTTTTAATGATGATATCAGAGTTCAAATCTAAGATCATGTGCATATTACTTTAGTCTTCCACCACTAAATTAATCTTAGTGGTACATATATATTTTTTATAATCATAATATTATATTGATATGAAATATTTATTGTCAAAAATAATGACTAATCTCTCTCAAAAATCGTGAACACACACAAGGATAAGTATTTTCCTCCAATGTAACGTAGTATATTTTATACTCAAAAACTAAGATTCAAACCAAGACAACTTGGTTATTTGACACAAATTACTACTACTTACATCAACCAGCGTTGGTTGGTACGTATACTTAATAGTTTCATATCATTTAATAAATTTTTTTAAAGAGAAAAACAAAATGAAAAGATAACATGGGGCTTTAGGGTTTTATTGTTTAAATAAATGGTTTATTTGTTTATTTATTTTGGTTGTGTGAAAGGACTTTTATTTAGTTGGGGTTACTTAATAGCTTGGACCTTCTTCCTTTAAGTTTAGCTCTCGCCACTTTCTTAAGAAAGTGGATTGAAGTGTAACTCAATCCTACAAAATTGACTTAATTATAAGGTAAAAGTTGTCCTTCACTTATAAACTCTCTAACTGTCTTATTTTTAATCGATATGAGATTTGAATTTTTTTAATATACTCTTTCACATCTAATACTATTGAGTCTAATACTTAGATAAATGATAGATGGCCTCTTTTAATGATATATAAGATAAGCAAGATTTGATTTTTTCCCAGTACTCTACACCTAACAACATTAGGCTTGATGTGTGTACCAATAAGAATGATAACAGGGTGAGATAGGTACGAATTTCTCTATATCCATTCTCATCTTTGTTCTCGTACCCTATATTCATGTTTGTCCTTATACTTGATGGGTATGAAATTTGTGTCCCCATCCTCGTACACATTAAGTATCAGGTATACCCATATTCACCTCGTAACCCTCTAAAAATTAATTAAATATTATTTTTGTAAAAAAAATATATAAAAAAATAATTTTAACATATAATAGTAATTACAAAGTTAAATTAATTAAGCTTATTTGACAAATTTAAAATAGAGGAAGAAGTTACATAAAATTTAAGTAAATTCTAAAAAAAATAAATTAAATATTTCTAAATTTAAAATAGGTACAAATATGCGTAAGAGTATTGGACGGATATGTATATACCCATCCTCATCCTCGTATCTGATTTAATAAATCAGATATTACACGTACTTGTATTTAGTCAAATTGAATATACATCGTCAAAGTCAGGACGAGTTCGAACATTATCTACACTAGTGAAAAATCAGCATATTACGTCACCCCTTTTACGTCGAAAATACGAAAATCCGACGAAAAAAAAATGCGGTGGCAATTTTGTAATTTTCGCGAACTTTTTTACATCGAACCTGGTAGGGTCTGACGTAAAAAGTCAAATCTACGTCGAATGTATGTTGTGTCTGACGCAAATTTGAATAAGGGAGCGTGAGGCACACCGCGTGCATTCACTCTTCATCACTTTTCATTTTTTTCTCTGTAAACCATCTCCCTCTCCTTTGTTACTGAATCGTTTTTTTGTCTTTTGCAGAGGGATGAACTCTTTGTTACTCATTCGTGTTGGGATTCAAACAAGTCCCACATCGATAAAATAAAACAACCTTGTTTGAGAGGAGGATTGTTGGGATTCAAACAAGTCCCACATCGATAAAATAAAACAAGAAATAACAACTTATATAACACAAACATACTTCAATGATTGAGAGGCCTTTTGGGTGATGACCAAAAGCAAAACCGTGAGGGCTAAGGCCCAAAGCGGACAATATCTCATCATTGTGGAGTATGTTTGTGTAATAACCTTATAAAAAAATAAATAACTCATAAAATATCCTCTCAGACAAATACCATAAAATAACCCCATCAGTGGTATCAGAGCCGCAGGTTGGATTTGGTGACAACCAATAACCCTATAACCCCTCATAACTCATAAAATATAATGTGTCATATAAAGACAGATTCCGCTACATGAAAGGTTAGGTCCCTTGTTTGAGAGGAGGATTGTTGGGATTCAAACAAGTCCCACATCGATAAAATAAAACAACAAATAACAACTTATATAATACAAACATACTTCAATGATTGAGAGGCCTTTTGGGTGATGACCAAAAGCAAAACCGTGAGGGCTAAGGCCCAAAGCGGACAATATCTCATCATTGTGGAGTATGTTTGTGTAATAACCTTATAAAAATAACTCATAAAATATCCTCTCAGACAAATACCATAAAAATAACCCCATCAATTCGCACATTGTTGTTGCTCCTCGGGTATGAATCAAGGTTTCGTTAGCACTTTTCTACTTTGCATTGCTACTCTCGCTATCTGTTTTATTCGATTTTTTGGTTGTTCTATTTGTATAGGTTGTGGACGTTTTCTTTTGGGTTGTTCCACGAAGCAGAATGGCTTGTTCTGCAAGCATAACGGCCTGTTCTCCAAGCAGAACGGGCCGTTCTCCAGCAGAACGGCCTGTTCTGCTTGGAGAACGGGTCGTTCTGCAAGCAGTACGGGCCGTTCTAAAAGCAGTACGAGCCGTTCTGAAAGCAGAACGGGCCGTTCTACTTGCATTCTTATGTTTTTTTTTTGTTTTTTACTACTTTTTTACGTCGGATTTCGTAATGTCCGACGTAAATTTACGTCGGTTTTGCAGGTCCGACGTAAAATTTACGTCTCCCGCTTTTACGTCGGTATGTTTTCTGACGTAAAAAGCTCAAAATATCCGACGTAGTACACCTCTTTTGTACTAGTGCTACAAGTACATTTTTACTTGTCATCCTAATGTATCAATGGTGTGTAACTCTTTTATAATAAATATAGATAGTTTTAATAGCATATTAGATTATAGGTTATGTGTCTAATTCAACTTTATAAAATTAACTTGTAAGGTGAGAGTTGTCCTCTACTTATATAATTTTGAATCATTTTTTCTCTAGTGAAAATAGGACTTTGATTTTTTTTTTTTCCAATACATCCCTCACATTTAACATTATTAGACTTGATATATAGATAAATTAATGGTAGGTGACTTTTTTAATGATCTTGAATATGTAGTACTTGAATTTTTTTAAACTCTAATATCATATTAAAATGTAAACTATGAGTTTAACTCAATTTTACAAAATAATTTATAAGACGAGAGTTATCTTCCGCTTATTTACTTTTTAATTATCTTATCTCTAATTAACGTGAGGTTTAATTTTATTTTAATATACTTTATTATATTTAATATTAGTAAATTTGATACATAAATAGATAATTAATATTTTTTTTAATTATTTTGAATAGACGTGAGTTGAATTTTTTCTATACATTTGGTTTCTTTTTGGACATAACTTAGGGCTGAGAATCTGGAAAACAGGTTGGCTCGCCTTGGGAGTGACCGACATGTGCCCGTTTCCGATGTCACGGTGGATGGCAAATGAAACAGCATTTAGTGCAAAAGAGGACCACTGGTGGGACCCACTTGGACGCGTATATTTGACTGGCAACCGGTTAGAGTGTGAACGGGGGAGTGTACACGTGGGATGTAAGTAAAGGGTTTACTCTCTGATGATTACCATGTGATCTCCTGTCCCCTTTCTCCTTCTTTTCCTTTTCCTTTTGGCGGCAAATCCTTTCAACATCCATATTATGCCAATTTTACCCTTCACTTTCACTCTTCTTTTGTAACGTACCTTCTGTCCCAGTTCGATTCAGTCTATCAAAATTATGTTTCTATTGTGTAATCTAATGGGAAAAGGATAAATAAATAGACTTTGCAATAACCATTGATACTTTAAAAAGTATAGTTTCGTTACAACATTTGCCTCCTAAACTCTATTTTACATCACCTCTTTCATGAATAAATATAACATCTTGAGTTGTCCAAAAATAATTTTCTGAACGCGCTTTTTAAACAAATAGTAATGTCTAACACATTTGCATTTAATTGCCTTAAATGAATTGATTTTAATGCTTAAATCATAAAAGTATTTATTACACGAACAAAGTTAAAGAGTGTTTATTATTATTTGAATTGACCTATTAATATTTAGTACCCTGCTGTTGAAAGCTCTCCTTCGCTGTCTCTATCACACTACCGTTGATGAATTCATTATAGTTATAAAAGAA